CCTTTTATGAGAGCTGTATACTCCTACAAAACACATGGAAACAAACAAAAAGGGCCCATTCTCTACCCAAAGATAACCTCTGCTTACATTTGGTCTGTTTTTCATTTTTTTCCCCCTAGGCAAATGCTTTGTTTTTGTTTTTCTATATCTAAAATCACACTATATCCTCATGCAGATGTAAGCGTAGAAGTACAGCCTGGGAGAATAACAGAACAAGTCAGATGTCTGGTTTCGAGCCACATACCACTGGTCTCCTGTGTGTGGATTACATAGAAGTGACTGTGCTGGGGGGATTTTAATCATAATGATTTTTCACAATGATAAATGAGGCTTAAAAAATGGGTTGCACCTTAAAAAAGCAAACTGAATTGAGGACTTAGGCTATAGGGAAATAAGCTTTTGTCTGATGTTTAATGTACCACTGGAATGGCTGGGGTTTTAAAGTTCAACATAATGATGACTCATAATGATTGTGTTTTAGTTTGTAAGAAGTCTTTGAATTCTTAACCCATCCCCTTTGGGTCTCAATAAAGATGTTGGGGTGATAGACATGTGGGGACTTCTTAAAACAAAACACAACAAATCTTCTGAATTAAAGTATTTCTGTAAGTATTTATAGATTTTTTTTCAAGGAAAGTATTCTTGCCTAGAAGAATGTTAGCTTTTTAAGGTGCCTAATTCAGGGTGCATGAGTTTTATTGACCACCTGGCACAGGTGCGTAGCCCGGGTTAGGGCTTAGGAGAGAGAACATTTCCTGCTTTAAGGGATAGATGGTTCTTTAGTTGAAGCAATGAAATATGTTTGTGGAGAATCATCCAGGGAGCATCTGTCTCTCATTTCAGTATCACAAGTGAGTGATGAATTGTAGGTAGTTAGCAAGAGAAAAAGTAAGCTGAAGACTTCAAGTTTTAACCTGGAAGGATAGACCGAGGGTTTTTGATGGATGGAGGAATAATATCAACAAACTTCAGAGGGGTCATGTGTGCTGGGCATCTTGTTCAGAGATTTGCACCTATAATTTTTTTAGTGGTAGGTATTATTACCTCCATTTTATAGATAACAAACTGAGGCCCAGAGTTTTCCAAGGTCACAGAATATCATGTCTGGAGTGTGAACTCGGGATCAACTGATTTAGGGTGATCATTTAATTTGTCTAAACTAGGATATTTTTAAGAGCAGAAGGAGCACTGGTAATGATTAGGCCAGGATAACAGGTGTAAACTAGAACCATCCAGGTAAACCAGGATCGAGGTTTGATCACACTGGCTGTAAAGGCTTTGCTCTCTTTGATAGGGTCCTATTAGGGAAAGCCTTAAAGAAAATTAGTGAAGGCCATGGCAAAGGGTTGGAGGCTAGTCAACAGCACTGTGTAGAAGAAGAATGGTGTAGCAGAGAGGTGAGAGGCCACAGAAATAATTAGTAGATGATGCCACTCAAAGTAGATTAGATGTGATGAGTTGGATGATGGAATTTGAGAGACGCAAGATTTAACATAAATCATAATGAAAAATTTCAAACCTACCCCAACTGGAAAGAGTAATACAGTGACTCAGCACATGTCAGTTGTCCAGATGAAAAAGTTATCTCTTTTTGTCATATTTGCTTCATCTACCTCTTACTCCCCGCCCCCCATTTTCCTTTTCCAGAGCATTTAAACAATAGCAACCTCAATTCACCCTCCACCTCAATGTGCATTTCTCAAAAAATGGATATTTCTGACAATCCACGTATCATTACCAACCTACCAAAATTAAGAAGAATTCTGATTTTTTTACAATTAATTCTCATTAAGAATAATAGCCACATTTTCCCAATTATTTTTTTTCTTCCATTGACTCAGAACCCTAACAAAGAAGGAGGAAACCAGAAAACATTGTGACTTCATGATCAGCATATTAGGTTAACTGGCTAACAGGGTGCTGGAAGGAGAATTTAGAAAAGAGCAAGTGATTACAGAGAAAGATGGGGAGAGATGTAGGTACCTTTCCCCTCCTAAACACTGATTTTGAAGAATCTCAAACCTGAGGAAGGTGGTGCTGGGGAGGAGAGTATAACAGGAGAACAGCTCAGCCCTCACCTTCTCCCAGTCACTGAAGAAGCAGTGAAGCCAGGTCCCTCCATAGCTTGAGGCAGAGTCTCTTGTCACTTAATGCTTTCTCCAAAGTTTCTGCTCAAAGTGTAGCTGGCGTGACTCTGCACCGATGAAGCCACTTTCACCTACCCTAAGCTTGTGGTTTGGAGAGGGGGTGCTTGGCACAGCCCACCCTGAACTGAGTGAGGAGCTCTCTCCACTCACCTTCATCCTAACCAGAAGACTCAAACTCAGAAAAAGGACTGTGACTTTGCATCAAATGGTGGGCAAATGAATGTGCATTTACATGCATGCTTCAGTGAAAGGAAAATGTCTAAGGCATGACCCCCAGCTTGTTCTTTTTCAAATAATCTATCAGCTGCCAGAAAGGATCCCATCTGCTATGCTGATTTAACATAGATTTAATCATTTTCATGCAATGCATTGGTTCCTTAAACATTTTTTTCTTGATGAAATGTCAACTGAGACAAAGTTTCCAAATGACAAGAAATTTCTGACTTTGTTCCAATGAACGAGCTATTTTTCTGTCGAAAGGAGAAACAACTTTCATTTTGGAAATCTGAATCCGGAAGTTTAAGGCATAAAAATAAAAAAACCAGCAAACCCTAGACCAAAGAAGGAAGACCAGACTCAGCTACAGTAATCCGAGATCTCTTCCAGATGGGAGCTCTGCAGGAAGTGCTTGGGGCCACATACAATCCACAGAAAAGTTTATATTTTCACTAGCTAACTTGTGCCTTAACTTGAATCAGCATTCTCCTCTGGGAAGAGCTCTCTGAGCCTGGAGGCGGTGCTCCCAACTCCTCTAGCCAGCTCTTCCCGGTGGTTTACCCTGGGGGTGGTACCAAGGCCTTCTGCCAACTCAGTCACAACCTCCCTTGGAAGCATTTCCCAGCACAACAGTTACCTGACAGCATTTTCCATAAGTATTTTGCCAGCAAAGACATGCTTGAGTTCATCATTTAAACCAGCTAGGAACACGTCTTTTTCAGATTAGAAAGTTCGATTGACAGTAAAACTTTGGAAAAGTTCATAGACCTGTTCTCAGGCTGCAGGAGACCACTGAAGCTTTGAAGACCCAGGAGTGAGAAGACTCGTGTGAGAAGAGCGTTATAGCAGAGTTGTACTGAATTGCATTTTGTGACGATTTTTCTGGATCCGAATATCTTCTTTTTTTTTTTTTTTTTTTTTTAATTTATTTATTTATTTTATAGAGGCATGTTTTTATTTATTTATTTGTTTGTTTGTTTGTTTGTTTGTTTTTTTTGTTTATACATGCACTGGGTACAGTCAGAAGCGCGGGAGGGTGAGAGAATTCACCAGAGCCAGAGCGGGGAGCAGAGCAGGCAGAAGGACCGAAGTACACTGCTGAGGGGAGCAGCGGGCGGCAGGAGAGGTCTGCGCGCCATGCGGGACCCTCCTCCGGTGGCCGGGGAGCAGCCGGGGATCGAACTGGCGCCGCAGAGGCCGCGAGCAGCTTCGCAACCCAGCGCTCAACCGCTGCGCCACCGGGGAGGCCCTGGATCCGAATATCTTCTTATGCATTCTTTTTTATGAATACAGAAATCCCCACCTTTGAATGTCTTTGAACATTTCAGTTTTATTTTAGTGCCAACCTAACAGGTTCCCCAAGCCCCAGTCGGCTTGCTGTGTTGTGGGTGTGCAACCTCTCCTGAAAAATCAGTCAACCATCATTTAGCCAAAGCTGGCAGGATAAGCTATAGGTAGAGGAAACATAAATTAGGAAAAGGTTGGGAGTCTTCCTTGGTTAAGGCTTTTTTTAGTTAGGGTAAGGGACACCATTTGCTCCTGCTAACAAGTTCAATTCCCATTGAAGATGTCCCTCTCGTGACTCAGTCTGCTGTGGAGGTAATGGCAGGCGCCAGGCACACTGATGCATTCTATGTCTCAGCGTCCTCTTGGACTTCAGGATTTTTTTTTTAAAGATTTATTTATTTATGCATACAAAAGCTGGGAGTACAGGCCAGAGATGTGGAGGGTGGGGTGTGAGAGGATTCACCAGAGACAGAGCGGGGAACAGAACAGGCAGATTGACAAAGTACACTGCTGAGGGGAGCAGCAGGCGGCAGGAGAGGTCTGCTGTGCCATGTGGGTAGCTCCCTGGCTGGCTGGGGATTGAACTGGTGCTGCAGAGGCTTTGGATTGCTTCATAGTGTGGTGCTTAACCCCTTGCGCCACCAAGGAGGCCCCTGGACTTCAGGATTTTGCCTTGATCTGCCATATATGTCTGGCTCTGACCAAGAGCTGCTTACAGACTCACAGAAGTTGAGGGAAAATGGATAACTTGGCCCTGAGTGTGGACAATGTACATGTTGTTTCTTGGGATGCCCCATATGAACCTGCATAGAAGGACCGGTTTTGTTCAGCATTCCAGGGTATTCCTACACCCCTAAGAGACAGGAAAAGAAGGAAGTCTCACCTCATTAACTCTTGGATTACATTAATTATTAAGTCATTTATAAAATACTACATAAATGTGAAATGATTAAAAAATCAGTTGCTTTTGTGGTTCCAAATAATTAAGAAGGAGCCATTTCAATGTAATCTTTTATCAATGGTTATCAATGAGGTGTGTGGTTTGCTGGTAAACATTTAGGCATATTGTGAGACATTGAAAACTCTTAAAAGTGGCAGCCCATCCATTCTGCCACCGCCAAAGTAGTAAGTAAAAGATATCCGTTGTGCATTCTTCAATTCTGGTCAGAGCCTCGTTCATTCAGTTATTTTCCCACGTTAAGAAATAGGAATAAAATTATATTAATGTTCTATAGAGGTACTATAATTGGTGAGTATATATAGACTCACCAATTTTAGATTTTCTAAAGAAGCATTTTGTATTTTTATTGAAGAACTAATCTTTATATTGTTCTGTGGTTTTGCCCCTAGATGCTATAAGAAGAATACTGCAAAAGAGGCTTGACTTCATATATAATTCTAAAAAGGTAATTTTTATTGATGTATTTGTTATTAAAAAATAAGTATGAGACAAATTTGGGTGGCTCGAAAATAAATCTTCAAACCAGGGGTTGCTGAACCTATGGATTTTGTGACCTTTTGTGACTAAGGACTTGGAATCTGGAGACAACTTCTCAATCTCATTTGAATGGCAGCAGAAACTCTCACCTTTCAAGCTGGGTGTTATTTAAAAAGCCAGCTTTCCTTAGGAGACCCCCCTAAGAGATTTGAACTGTGGGAACTTTTAAAAGATAATTTGTTGAAAAGTAGCCCTGGCTTTGAGCAAGGTCTGTGTGGGCTTCTGTTTAGAATGGAAGAAGGTGTGGAGGAGGGAGGTAACCCCTAGTCTTGGGGGGGCTAAGAGCTAGGTTGGCAGAGATGGTACCTAATTATTTAGGGAAGAAAAAGCAGAAGGAAATGGGTATATTTATAAGCAACATTCAGGGGATGGTGGAGGAAAGACAGCTAATTTTGGCCAGAGATTTTCTCTTTGGCGATGACTTTGTGGCTTGGTGTCACAAGGGTGAGTGGGGCTGCCAAGTAGAGTGAATGGACAAGAGCCCCTCATTGCTCTTTGCAAACGCTTAGCTGGATGCACAAACCTTCCCTACTGCTTCTCGTTTGTTTGTGTTTTTGTGAACAATATCTCTGTTTTCAAAACCAAGGATCTCTGTGTCCAAATTATAACAGCATATTGAGAACCAGCCTTTCTCCAGGTAAAAAAACAAAGCACCCCACATAGGTTTCTTAATGTGTCTTCTTTGCCGAGATACGAAAACATTGAATTACGCATTGCTGTTCTCTACGTGGTATAATACAAGCCACAGATTCTTACTGTATATTATAGCACATTCAAGTCAGAAAGCTACTTACAGTGAGTCTTTCTGTGCCATCTGCCTCTCTGGGGTCACCTGCCATGTGCCAGTCCTGGATCAGGAGCTTCAAGAACTCACAAGTCCTGTCCCAGCACAAGTGTCCCCGTGCTGGAGACACAAGACAACCCTCCACTCAGCGAGGCTAGGGACTTGTCCAAGGCTTCGCAGCCACTAATGGCCAAGCTGGGGTTCGTGCCCAGATCAGTCTTACTCCAAACACCCCAACAAAAAGATTAAATGCATTCCGGGCCACCATGCTATAGTCCTGAGGTGGCTAATTGGGGAGAAACAGCTCTCCTCTGAGTGTCTCGAGCTGTGCGCAGGCGGGACACCCTCAGAGCTGGGCTTTGGACTTAGGGAGCCATCAGATATGACAGTGGCTGGTTATTTCTGGAAGAAATAGTAAGGCAGAAATGGAGGCTCAGGAAGAGAAGATTTGAGATGATGGAGCCAGAAGAAGATAGGAGGACTAGACAGAGGAAGCTATAGAAATCCACAAATAACCATAACAGCAATAATAACCTTAGCTCCCTTCATACAAATATCACCCCACCCCCAAAGGGAGAGTCTTATAAATTGAGTACATTTAATTCATGGGAAATTCACTGCATCTTCTTTATTTTTCTACGGATTGGTCTGTTCTCAAAGCTGATCCACCCCTGTCCCTGGATTACCATTTAGGATTTGCTGTTCCAAATCAGTGGCACCTACTCCCTCAATTCGTCAGTTTGTCTGATTCAAAGTTGGGGGGCTATCGCACCCTACACCCCAGGCTGCGCACATGGGAGAGTGTGGCAAGCATGACCACGGGGCCAGTCACTCTGAGAAGGACCCCAGGGAGCACAAAGGAGCAATGTCAGCAAATCCAGACTGGGTTATCATGGAAGACTTCCTGGAGGAAGCAATATCCATGCCAAGACTTGAATTTCATCAGGGGAAAATAGGTGGGAATGACTTTTGGGGTAAGGAAGCAGCTTATCAAACCCAGAATGAGGAAGGAAGGAGAGAGACCATGATCTTAGCCTTTGGAGACTGGAAGAGTTTAGAAGAGTGGGGACATGAGGCCAAGAATAAATAATATGAGCATATTAAGAAGAGTGGATATAGGGCCTCCCCGGTGGCGCAGTGGTTGAGCGCTGGGTTGCGAAGCTGCCAGCAGCCTCTGCAGCGCCGGTTCGATCCCCGGCTGCTCCCCAGCCACCGGAGGAGGGTCCCACATGGCGCGCAGACCTCTCCTGCTGCCCGCTGCTCCCCTCAGCAGTGTACTTCGGTCCTTCTGCCTGCTCTGCTCCCCTCTCTGGCTCTGGTGAATTCTCTCACCCTCCCGCACTTCTGACTGTACCCAGTGCATGTATAAACAAAACAAACAAATGAATAAATGAATAAATAAATATAACATGCCTCTATTAAAAAAAAAAAAAATCTTCTATTTAAAAAAAAAAAAAAAAAAAAAAAAGAAGAGTGGATATAAAATGGTGGGAATCCTTGGAATGCTTTTACACAAGGGAATGACATTGGATTTTCATTTTAGAAAGGGTTCCAGATAGTCACTAATACTTTTTCATGAAGATCTTGCAGATGTATGTGAAGCGGTCCCAGCTCCAATTCCCTGCTCACAACTGATCGCTTCACTGATTTGAGATCCTTCGAGAAATCCAAGTGCACACTCCAAAGTTCCAGTTCTTGACTCTACCCCAAAGCCCTGCTCTTCTGATCAACATTCAATTTCAATTCCCGTCTGTGTTCATCCTTCTCGAAACGTGATTATCTCTGTGTGCAAAATTCATGTTCTCGGTTGTGGTTAATCAAACTTTTTCTGTTTTCTTGTTGCATGCTGCCGCCTCCTTAAACAAACTCCTCAATGGCTTGGGCTACAACAGCCAGAACATGTGTACTTGATTGTACAGGTAAAGTCCTTGTCTGCTGCTCTTTCATGTCACTTGGCCTAGGAACACTTTTGCCATAACCTTCCTTTCTTCACTGTCATCCCCACTGTGATGCTAAGTTGTTCCAGTTTCGTGTTTGCCACCTCCTCTAAACCTTCTCTTCCAGTTTTGATCAAGTTCAGAAATGAAAAGCAACACATCTCTGTACATTTGACTCTGCATCTAACCATTTTCCTGGCAGGTGGAAAGAGATAGTAGCCACTTGGCGTCCCATATTCTGACAACTCAAATCCCCGCTTCCTGGATTTCAAGAAAGAGCTTCCAAATGGAAAGACACGCACACACACACATACACACACACACACACAAACAAACACACACACACGCAGATTCAACTCATGATGCAAATAGATTTGAAAGCATGACATGTGGGCTTCTGGGATGTCCTACTTGCTGCTTTGTGTCACCTCCACGCTGTTCCTCTGCTTGCCTTGCAGATTGTCGTAGGCCAACTTGGAGTTATTTTTTGTGCCGGCCTGGGTCTGCTCTTTGTGATTCTGATGCCTTTGGTGGGCATCTGCTTCGGGGTGTGTCGCTGCTGTAACAAGTGCGGTGGCGAAATGCACCAGCGACAGAAGAAAAACGGGCCCTTCCTGAAGAAGTGCTTCGCCATCTCCCTCTCGGTGGTCTGTGTATTTGCAAGGCAAGTAGAACCTGGACGAGGGCTGATTTTCAGGTCAATGGGGAGTGTCTTGTTTTAACAGCCATGCCGTGAGTTTAAGACAAAACAGCAACAGAACAGAAGAGAGAGGACAAAAATGAGTGTGCGGGATGCGTGAAAAAGAAGTCAGGCTCATCGGAAGTTCGCGTGGTACCTGGGTTCCCTAAACGCATGTGGGAGCCGCCCCTGTGGCACAGTTTTCCACTGGGAGACGTCCTCATCCACCTGGGACTGCAGAGGCGTCCCCTCCCAGAGCGGCCCCATCTTCAATACCTGCTTGGGGACAGGCAGCCTGCAGGGAGACAGGACCCATACTGATTTGTGCATCCCTCTTCCCCATCGCTCTTTGCTACCCCATTCCCTTTATCCGCCCCCCCATCTCTCTCCTCTTTAAATAATTTGCAACTGACTATTCCTTCACATCAGACTATGAAAGGCAGTTTAGGATCAGCCAATGGTCATTCCAGATGTCCTGTCTCCCTGCTTTGTATTTGAAGTGTTTTCAGGAATGCACAGGCCCCAGCTGAGGGACGTCACCTCCGCCCCAGCGGCCAGGAAATGTCAGTCCCGGCCCAGAGTCGAATGTCCACCCTTCATTCATCCAAAGCCTCTGACAGTCAGGGTCCCTGAGGCTCAGGTGTCAGAGTATCATTTGGAAATACTTGCCCTTAAGGTTTCTTTTTAATGTGATGATTTACTTAGCAAGTGACTAGTTTTTCATTTGATATAGGTGTGGCATGTAATGTCAGGAACATAGTGCATGTAGTTACTCATTTAGCTGAATAAATGTTTATTACAATTACATTACTTCATTTTTAATGAAGAATATGACCTGGATTGGGTTTTTGTTTTTAACTGGGCTTTATTTTGCATTATGTACAATGAGATATTATATACTTTCTGTATCGTACGCGTTATAGTTCACCCTGAACTGATTGAATTATATACACTATTTCTAAACAACAAAACTACAAAGTCAGAAAGAAGTTTGATGTTCATTTATATATAAAATATATGCTACTATGTTTTATTTTCAAGAATGCAGACCCATCAAACAAATTAAAGTAAGTGTTTTACTCCTGAGCATATTTTAGTTTGGAAACTTCTTTTTAAAAAATATGCACTGTGATTCTATTATCCCTTACCTATTCAATTAAGATTTTGTTCTTCACCCAAGTAAAACTTTTTAATTTGAAAGTTACAATTTTAAATATCAACATAATTAAACCAAAGTTGATCAACTATTGGAGACTAAGCAACAAATTTAAGACTATTTTACCTAATGCATCGAATTTACCTATGTGTTAGAAATACATCGAAGTGAGTACTACTAGGCATTGTTTATTTTAAATTCAGAGTAGGAGTTTCAACTTCTTTGCCTTTTATTTTTTTTTTATTTGCAATAGTTAATTTGATGTCCCCATTGGTTTGCAAATACAAGTCCCTTAATAGAGATAGGTGGTGGATAGTTTGCAAGTACTCAAAACTAGCCAAAAGATTAAAGGATGGGGGAATCATAGATTTCTATGTTGTAAGCAGATAGGAAGGAGAAGAAAACATGTCAACACAATCAGAAGATTAGATAAAATAAGGGGGAGAAGATTGTGAACAAAATAGAAAGAGAAAGGAAGGAGGGTTGAACCTGGGGTTTCCACCGCCCTCAGCAGAGTCTGGAAACTATTAATAAATAATCTTTACATAGGATTTTAAAACCTAAACTGATCTACTGACTTTTTGTCAGACTCGGTTCTAGTTTTTTCCTCTCGATACAAAGTGTTACAATTAAAATTAAAGTCAGGTTTTAAATTAGTCTCCAGTGCTCTGATAGTATATTCATCCTTCTTTATTTAAAAAAAAAAAGTAAATATTTTTTAAGTTGAGCAATGCAGAGGTGTGAATGGAAAATGCCCCGGCGTATGTGGGATCTGTGCAGTCATGTTCTTTCTCTGAACTTTTCCAGAGGCTGCTGTGGAATGTTTGAGTCCCACAGACGTTGACATGTGTTTATAGAAGTCTGTTTGACCATCAGCGGATCAGATTTCTACTTCTCACTGTAGACTGTTTAAGCAGATGTGCCTTACACTAGAAAAAAGCCAAGTTTCCTCTCCTTGCTTTCCTTCTTCCTTGTCATCACTGCATTTTTCAGAATTTCAAAAAGGTTATAAACAAAGGGAACAGCCTTGCCTTTCTTTCTTCAATATATTTCTAAGTTTCCAACTACGATAAGTCAGCTTTTGCCAATCGCCACGGTGAAAACTGAATCCCAGTCATTTTCAGGAAGATGGCTCTTTTCCAAGTTCGCTTTTTATTAGGATGTGATTGTCAATGCCTGGCTTAGAGGCCTCAAGGTTCTGGAAAGAAATTAAGCTAGTATGCCTGGAAATCACGAGGCTTTCTTAATGTAGAAGAGAGGGTACTTAGTTAAAAACTAAATTAAAATTTTACCTTTAAAAATAAGAGCTCAGCTATAGACCAAAAACATTTATTTGACTTTGATTGGCTAATTTCACTGAGTCAATACAAATGGGTAGAAAAATTTACTTCCAATTTTAAAGGTTTAGCCTTACTCTTTAAAAGCTCTTAATATTACTTTTAAGTATATATGTGAGAAAATTGGCATGAGCATACTAAAATACAGGAGATAGATATTGACATGCAACCAAAATAAATAATTCCTATCTGATGCTAAGAATTCCAACAAATTGTGTTGCACTGCCTGAAGGTACATGCTTCAGTGAAATGGCAGAGAGTTGAGAGTCTTAGTATTTTACTCCTTTTTTGTGTAAGTTGAAATTTTGTGAATTTCCCCTGGTATCCTCCTATCTTAATAGTTGACTGGTGGTGGCTAAAAAATGAATGCATGTAATTTCTTTCTTTCTTTTTTTGCTTAAAATCGTAAGGAATGTCTAACTCATCTGCAGCGAGAAGTATAAATTCTTTATTTTCTATCCAGATTTCAATAGAGGCTGAGTCTGCCATCCTTCATTTAAATACAAAATTTACAATGGGTTATGGTTCCTAAAATCAGCTTTTGAAAGTTGCTGAATTCTATTCCATGATACTGTTTAGTACAATTTTTTCGCATCAGTGCTTTTATTTTAATTGGATCCATCATTGATTAGCAGAAATGTGGGTCTTTTTCAAATGTTGCATTGAAATTCAGTACCGTATTGCAGTGTTGCATTACAAATTCATTTTACTGATTGGTGACCTTTTGAGTAAAGGCATTTATTCAATAAAGAAACAAAGACAGTTCCTGAGATAACCCTTCAAATATACAGCTAATCTTCTAATGGGCCAAATGGATCAATTTCCAGCCCTTAAACCCACCTTCACGGAACACGAACCATGGACAAGAGACTTTGCGTTGTGAGAAGTTGACAAAGAAGCGGTTTCCACCTCTCGTGGGTGAAATCAGGCCTATGTAAAAACAAAACAGAACAAAGCATGAAGCAAGAAATACCCCGTAGAATTCCAGGGAGATCGTCCTGGAGTTCAAGGCTGGGGGCTCTCTCCCATGCAAGGAGGTAGTGGAAGCCAAGTGAATTTGCCTGTTGCTTTGTTTCTTCCCAAGTTCCTTTTGACTTCACATGTGACAAAATGGGTCTGTAGCACGATGAATGAAAAGCCCCTTGGACGTGTTGAGGACCAAGAGCAACAGTCCCCGGGTGAAATCTTGTGGTGGGAGCCGTATTCAGATGCTAACCCCGCGGCTTCCTGGTAAATAGCGTGATTGAAATTTGGCAAAGATAGCCCCAGGAGGACGTGATGACTCCACTCTTGTCTTTTTCCTTCTGCACACATTTCTCCAAGTTGTTGTTTGGGGTCACTTGGTCTGATTTGGCCCGAGTGCATCATTTACTATTACTGGCCTGCGAGGAATGTCTCCCTCATACCCTCCAGGCAGACTTATGACTGACAAAAACAGGCGATCGGGTGGTCACTCCAGATGGCACAGGATGTGGCCAATGTTCTTGTGCTTGAGATTACCATCTGCAAGAACCCCGATTTCAAAAGGGAATTCTCAGAGAGCCAGTGGCCCTCCAGCCCCCCTCTCCTTGCAGTTTGAGAAACAGCCGATCTTCAGTTTGGTGACACCAGCTGAGTGCACAGAAGCAAAGTGACTTCCCCGGCTCGCAGGGCACGAGAAGTGGCAGCAGTGGGACCGGAACCCAAGCCCCAACTCCAGGACAGAGTCTACCGCAAAGCACCAATGAGAAAGTTGCTGGGCCCTGGGCATGAGTGATGGGGGGACCCGTGTGCCCTCGTGACGCTGCCATGGGAAGGGGCGCTGAACGCCAGGCCAGCTGTGAACCGGCCCTCCTGGGAGTGAGTCCCGACCCTGAGTGGGTGGAGGACGGCCACCTCTTACCAGGCCTGAGAGGCTTCCAAGCCACTTGTGACTTTTGCACGGAAGCACACCGTTGGGGTCCCTAGCTGCAAATACACGAATATGTAAAGCCTCTGAAGATGCTTTTTGTGAAGACGCAAAGTATTAATTTTCTGCATTGGGATTTTTCTCCCCCCCGAGTCTGCCTGTTACTTGCAAAACTGTGTTCTAGAAACATATCCAGACCGTCCATAGAGGACTACAAATGATTTCATTATTAGCTTCCATTAAGTAAAATGATGTGTTGTGTTGTTGAGTTTGTCGTTCCCTGCTGCCATCTAGTGGAAAAATCCAAGAAGGCCTGACATTTAGCAAGTACGAAAGTAACCTTTTGGTGTCCAAAGGCTTGGACACAAAAACAATTTGACCTATTGATCAGATTAGTTCAAGTTAGGAGATGGTTTATTAACTAGTCAGCATTAAGAGGCCTTAAGATGATTAAATGTGGACAATTTACATGACTGGGATCTTTTTTTTAATTTTTGGGTAGCTTTTCATGCAAGATGCCTGTCATGTAGGGTTTTGAAACTCTTGGTTGGAGTCTATTTAAGTTGTAAGTACATGAGCACCAATGGCATTGAAGCCAACACACCGGGGACGTCATGAGCCACCTCCCCAAATACAGCCACTGCCTTTCAGTGCCATCATTTGTTTTGGCTTTGATGTTTATATAAAAACGGTCCGATAGAGTGTGGAGCCTACTGCCCGTTGCTTCCGTGGCATCTTCATGCTAAATAACTTACGTTTCTGTTCAGACTGGTCACTGTAAGGATGACAAAGACCATCAGAGAAACCAAAACCAGTAGAAAGCCCAGTCCTCTCTTAGCATCTGGGCATTTATCCTAGTGGCCTTCTCTGGGGAGCAGGAGCAAGTTCAAATGTGGGGTGTGTAGCAGCAGGTGCAGTGCATTCTGGACAGTGGCAGGTCATGGTGGAGGAAGCCTGTCCCTGCTGGGGTTCTACACAGGCTGGTCTGCAGGGCTGCCCTGTACCCCGCACTCCACCTGGGTCTGACAGTCAATGTTCTCCCACCCCCTTTTCTTTGCTGCAGCTTTGGCATCTTATGTGGTTTTCTGGCCAACCAGCGCCTCCGGACACAGATCAAGAAGACTGGGAATCTCGTAAACAGCAACTTCAAAGACATGAGAACTCTCCTGAATGAAATTCCAGAGGTAAAAACTCTATCCATTTACTGCAGACGCTTTCTGCTTGGGGTCTTTCAGAATACACACACGCACACACACATATATGTATGTATGTATATATATTTAGGATCTCATTTGAACCTTCTAGAAACCCAGTGAATCAGTGTAGACAGGGGTCAATTTTTACTGTTATCAATAAATAAATGCAGGGACCACCAACTGATTTCCATGAGTGAACAAAATTATAGTGCCATAGTTGGTGTTTTTATTTAAAGGCATAATAAAAAATTATAGTGCATATTATAAAAATACTTAAGGGTCATGTGATTTCTTTTTAAAGGAAAAATCTTTAGATGCCATTGTCCTTTCTTTTTGGGAGGGCAATATAAGAAACTCCCCATCATTTGCTTGTAATGAGACCTTTCTGCTTTACTAACACCATCTGCTAACATATGTGTAGCCATATAAGCTCCCTTGGAAGGACACACACACACACACCCTCCTGTACATAAACACATACGCACACTCATGCACATGAGCTGTATTTGAAGAAGGGCAGCCAGGTGACTGGAGACCCCTTCTTTCTGTCTCAGAAGCATTTTGAGTCCTTCATCCAGGATGCCTGTGCAGAAGCAGCCCCAGCGTGAGGCTGAGTTCACAGCACCAACTCCTGGGTTCATTAGAAAGACTCTAAATCCATGGGCCTCCCACACAGGAATGTGCTCTTCCAAGCTGGTTATATTCTAAAAAATATAACAAGCACATTAGATAGTGCACTAGCTTTTAGGATTCCATTGGAACTAAAAGGGCAAAGAGTGTGGGCATTTTTTAGCATTGAGATGAGAGAACCTCACTGTATCCAGCTCCATAGGCTGTGCACGGGGGGAAATCTTACATTTTTCCAATCTGTGAATATATATATTTATATTTGATATTTTGTCCTTCATGCTAAAGACTCCAAAGTTAAACCCCTTCCCTCAAAAGTTGGCAAAATTAACCACACAGCCATCGTGACTGGGGAACTCTGGGATTGCAGTCCTGCACTGGAAGGTTGGCAAATTGTTATGACTTTGGAGGAAACTTTTGTAGTTCAGAATCTATGCAGCGCTCTAACACATCTATGAAACACTGGAGTAGAGAACATGAATCATCAGTTTGCAGAGGAAATGTGACTGGCCCTGAACATCGTCTGCCACTTACACTCATTTTCGTGCCTGAAGACGTGAAAGATCACATAATGATGTGTGTGTTCGCTGAGAAGACAGGCGAGGAGGTTTTAAGTGGCGGCCTCCAGCGGGCAGTGGGTTCGGGGAAGGAAACATGCAAGACCCAGGGACAGAAGGACCAGCAGCCCCTTCGGAGGCTGGTTCAGCCAGCACCGCTCCATCGAAGGATCCTAGTGAGGTCAATTACAAATGGTCTCAAATTCTTCGTAGACCCTTCTTCAGGGGGTGGATCTGTTTTCTAAGCCCTCAAGTACCGCTCGCCTTGTCCAAAAGAATGTGGCGGATGTGGCCTCATGCTAATTTTGAGCTTGGGTTTCAGAGGCCATAGGGGTCCATCTTGCCCTCTTGCCCTGGATATATAACCCCCCCACCAGATGGCCACCTGGAGGGTGAGAGTCCACCTGCAGAGAAAGAGGGGTTCAGCTGGCCCCAAGGTCCATGCAGCCAGTCCGCGGGACATGAGAAATCATGAGCCCAGGCCAGTAAGCCTGGCTTGGAGGCTGGGTGACCAGAAATAGAAATACCACTTTAAACCTGCTTTCATTTCAAATGCTCTCACCAGGGATGCTTTTTCTATGTGAAATTTCCCTGAATTGTGTTCTTGGTCCTTCCAAGAGGAGATTCCATGTCATTTCTTCTTCTTTTTCAGCAAATCAAATATGTGACAGACCAGTTCAAATCCACCAAGACAAGGGTGTTCTCCGACCTGGACGGTGAGTAACCTTTAGAGCTGTCTCCCATTTTCCTGCTTGTTTGTTTTGCACTTGATCTCGGCCAAAATTCCGAGAAGCAATTGCTTGTTTGTTTTGACTAAGAGACTCGATGACCAGCTCTCAGCAAACACAGGGGAAGAAACGAAGCTTGCTGCTTCTACAAGTTCCTCGTGAAAGTAGGGCAAAGGCAGAAAAGAAATTTCCTGGAGTCAGTGATAACCTGCAGCTCCTCCCTCGGGCAGCAGCACTCACTGTGAGGACATTGGTGCTGCCTTGAGTCACACGCCTGTCCCTTTGTCCCCATTTGAGTGAGGAAATGGCCTTTGTTGGGCTGTTAAGGACAGAGAGGACTCCCCCACCACACACCCCAGAGGCCGTGGGCTTCAGAAACAGAGGAGGGGAGGCAGACCCACGGGTGCTCTCAGGCGACGTGTCAACTCCAGAAACATTTCGGGTCGGGGGCGGTGCTGCTAGAGGCCTGGGATGCTGCTGAACACCCTACAATGCACAGGATGCCCCAAAACAAAGAATCATCCAGCCCCAGTTGCTATGGCTGAGAACCCCTGGCCTGGCTGAGGAGACGAGGGGCCATGCAGTTAAGGGGCAAGATGATAAACCGTGTCCCTGGGGTAATAAATACCGAGTCCGTGGTGACTCCACGTCACTGGGCACTGCCAGGGTGGGGACTTGAAAGAGTGTCAGGAAATCTCCACACAGGAGTCAGCCCCAGTGTTCAAAACCTTCAGAATAGAAGGCCCCTCTGCCCGGCTATCCCACTTCAGGGTATTTATCCAGAGAACATGAGAACACGAGCTTGAAGGTTTAAATGCACCCCGTGTTCCTTGTGGCATTATTGATGGTAGCTAAGCACTGGAAACAACCTCAGTGCCCATCAACAAATAAATAAAAATGATGTGGTGTATACCCAAGGGGAATACTACTCAGCTACAAAAGAAAAATCAAGCAAAAAAGATGAAATCACGCCCTTTGCACCAACACGGATGGACCTCGAGGGTATTGTGCTCAGTGAAATAAGTTAGAAGGAGAAAGAGGTGCTGGCTGGGAAAGAGGTGGTTTTACAGGAAGCAAATGAAGACGCAAACTAGAATAGATGATGGGAACAAAACAGTGGTTACCAGCGGCAGAGGGGAGGGGGGTGTGGCAACCAGGGAGGCGGGCCCACTGCCAGAGGAAGGGTGGGAGCTCGACTTTTGGTGGCGACCCCCTTGTAGACACAGATGTGGATGTGCAAGCTCATCCAGCTGAAACCTGCAATGTTATAAGCCAGCGTTACTTAAAAACAAAGCCCCTAAACAGATCCTAGAATGAAAAATGGACTTTGTACAGCAGGAGAATGAAAGATGCCTTCCCGGGCAGACCCTTCAGGGTGATGAAGATGTGAACGAACCTACCTCATGTTCCTTTGATTTTAGATATTAAGACCCTGCTGGGAGGTGGGATTCAAGAGCCACTAAGACCTAGAGTGATGCCCGTTCTGGATGACATCATGGCCATGGCAAGAGGTGAGAATTGCCACAGAAGCGATCTAGGCCCCCCGCGCGCCCCCGCCTTTCCCGTCTCCCTGGGAGGTGGCAGGGATGGGTCCTCTGTGCTCACGTCAACAGGCCAGGCGGGGACAACAGGTCATGATGGTTCTGTTTCTCTTCAAAGCTTGTGCCGAAGCTGGGGTTCTAATGACCCAAAAGTCACTTGAAGTGATGGTGGTGGAATTTCAGGAGGGCCTGACCCCCGTTTCTGTCAGTGAAGTCACTGAAACACAGCCGTGTGCCTCTGCTTTCTCTCAGAGCCCACAAACCTCTTCCCGCTGGCTTTAGAGGCACACTCTGTGGTCCTGGTCGGCCTGGGGCGACCCCAGAGGGCCCCACAGAGACTCACAGACGCGCAGCACCGTGACGTCTTTGGGAAACAGGCGTCTGTCCCCTCTTGTCCTCTTTGGGACGTGACAGAATAGAGCCCCCAGCCAAGCTGACTGCAGGCGGGCCTGCCTGTGAACTCACTTTGTCCCCCATCACTCTTTGCAGCTGTTGTTTCTTCCTCGCCTTAGGCTGACTATTCTGAAGTCCAAGTGGAAGGGAGAGCCCCAGCATTGAAGTGTGAGGCTTGCGTGTGTGTGTGTGTGTGTTTCTAGTTGCCACTGTGCTCTGCCTCTTGTGTAGCTCTCCAGAAATGCCTGGAGGGCCAGGCCTAGCTGCCGGCTCCATCGGCCATCGTGGAGGGTGGAGGAAGAGATGAGAGTGGAGGCCAGCGTGCCTGTCTGAGAAAGTCTTAAATACTATGTTAGCCTCAAAGGTGGTTACGGTGCAGCTGGACCAAAATCCCAGAGAAAAGGTGGTTTGAAGAAGACTGGAAAGTTTTCTCCTCAGATAAGGTGATAGAACTTGGGCCCAGGGACCACACAGCGTGACCCTGGGTGTCGGGGCACTGGTCGGGCCAGGTTTCCACGGCATCTTGGGTGATAAGAACAGCCGCTACCAAGTCAGACCTAGTTATCATGGGCGGCGGCATCTCCTAAGAGCAAGTCTGCCTCTGCCGGGAAACAACCTAGAATTGCAGACTGTCCGCGGGGAGCGCCTGAACAGCCTCTCTCACGGATGAGGAATCCGAGGTCCCGAGAGGTACAAGAGCTTGTCCAAGGAGCTACTTATGACAAGGCAGCCACAGAGCAGAGGTGACAGCTCGGGCTACTTTCAGTGAGATTCCTTGACACGGAAGCTTTAAAATGTGTGCGCGTGAGTGGGTGTGTATGTGTGCGCGCCGGCGTAGTTTTCCCGGGTGAGTTTTAGGTAGTTGTCAGGGGAAGTGGAGGAGCCAGTTTTAAGGGCTGAGGACAGACACATTTCCCTAGCCCCACCCCCTGTGGCCTGATGCCTGGTCAGCTTCTTGGCGAGCCGCAGACCAGGAGCTGCTTAGAACACGTGCCATCCGCTCTCAGTTAAGGCTGCACCTGGCCCTGCCAGGGCTTTCAGTCACCATAGAGAAGAGCTGTGACTCGCTCCCTCCCAGCGCTGAGCACGGAAGATCTCTGCACAACGGCACGATCTGGGCAGCAAACATTTACTAGGGATTCCCAAGTAGAAGGTTCTGTCTTGGGCGGTGGGACTCCCCAAATAAAGCAGAGAGACTCATGCCATTGAGGACTTTGAGCGCCCATCCACACATCTCAGACACACTTCACACTATAGTGCTTGGTTTTACTATTTTCAGATGAGAAAGTAGCCAGAACCTTCTTGAATGGGCCTCGGATTACAGAGCAAGTGGTGAGGCTGGGATCTGCATATAGATTGGCCCGAATCCAAAACCCGCTCACCACCGTGGCCCTGGGTTTCGTCCCAGCATCTTGGATATTGTAGCTCAAATATGCCTGGGTATGACGGGTGTCAGGGTGGAAACTGTCTAGGACTCAAGTGTGTCTTTGTCTGGACTGGGGGTGCTGCGCCCAGACTCCCCTTGCTCTGTGGGCACATGCCCTGCTTTGTGTTTGAATCAGCCCCAGGCGGGAAGCTCTGAGGTTGGAGAGGCTGGTGATTCCCTGTGTTCCTCTCTGACGGTGCTCTCTGGCTGCTCCCCAGGCATTTGCAAGTTCTCCCCAAGTCCCTTTAGGGAACCTGTCTAGGTGGGCAGGGATGTTGCCACCGCCTGCCAGGCGGATGCCTCTGTTCTGAAATGGCCGGTGTCGGTGTCCTGCAGTAATCACAAAGACCAGAGGCGCCCTGGTGAGCTTGAACAAGACCTTAGAAGACCTGAAAATCGCCAACGCACAGCTCATGGCCAGCCTGCAGGACGTCAGGCAGAAGGTGGAGGACTCGCTCAACGACCCCATATGCTTCCAGCAGTCGGGGGCCGCGGCGTGTGAGGGCATCAGACGGTCCCTCAGCCAGCTGGACGGCAACGCCAACCCGGGTCAGGTGAGGCGCCCCCTGCCAGGCCTGGCCGCGGGACAGGTGGGGTGCGGGTGGGCATGGCCAGGTGCAGCCAGGTGCACGGGCTCCGGGTCTCTGTGGCCCTTTCTGAAAAGGCAGCAGCAGGAGACAGGGAATATCGGGAACCCCCTCCTTAAGAGGCCCCTGTGATCAGTTCCATGAAACATATCTGAATGGATTCAGCTTTAAAAAGAAAAAAGCCACAGAACACATTTTCATAGAGCTTTAAAAATTAAAATGTGTTCTTGCATGCGGCGCCCAGACACTAGCCACACATGCCTAAGGGAAAATAGTTCCCCGCGTTCTCAAGGACAAGGTTAGAGGGGGGGAGGGAGCAGCTTAAGTGTTTAAAGTTCTGGAATGTAGAGAAAATAATCGTGTCGGCTGGCGACTTTGACTATATCGGTGTGATGATGGAGACGCAGCAGGCTGTAGGAGCCCTTGGGCGTGGCCATGTTTTCTCACCTTCAGACCTCGCGAATCACCTTTATCCAGACGCTTTACAACCAACACACCTGTCTGTGAATCCACCCCACCGGCTAGGCATCATCCAACAGCTTTTCAGAGCCTAGCTTTGACTCTTGCGTTTAAATTGTTTGAGATGAGTCTTTGGGGTGGGGGTGACTTTTAGTTTTCAGGTGCCTTTAAACATGCCAAAAATTTGCAAGGTTGGGACAAGGAATCCTTACCCACCCGCTCTACCCAGAGTCACCACTTGTCGATAATTTGCTCCATTCCTTAATCCTATCCTTTCCCTGTTTACCTGCCTAGGTACCTCTGTCTCCTACTGTTATCAAATATGTGTATAAAATCATCTGCCATTTGCTCTTTGCGCAATCATTTGGCGATAGCTTACAGACACCGGGCACCTTCCCCTAAATCTTTCACTGCATTTCCTAACTTGATAGAAGCTCTGTACAATTATCAAAATTAGGACATATGACATTGACCTGATGCTACTATCTAAGAAACGGCTTGTTTTCATATTTTGCCATGTTTTCTAAAAATTGCCCTTCACAGATATTTTTTCCCTTAATGTATGGTCCCCGCTCGTCACGTCTCTTACTTTGCTTTAATTCGGAACAGTGCCCGGGTCTAGCTTTTCTGTTGTTGATAGTAACATTTCTGGAGACTACAGGACACTTGTTTTCTAGAAGAAACTTCAATTTAGGTTTGTCTGATGTTGCCCCTTGATTATATTTGAGTTGTGCATATCGTCAAGGATATCAAAAAATGATATTTTTGGTACATAGTGTCAGGAGGCCCATGACATTTGTCCAATATTGGTGAAAGAGAGAACATTTTAAATCTCTGTATACTGCTTTAAATGGAAAATTTATTCCAAACCCCTCACCGTTATAACCACTAACTGCATTACTTTTTAAACATGTTTTTAAAAAGCTTTTTACAATCCAACAATACTCAGTCTCTGAAATTGTGAGGTCATACATACTTAATCTGTGTAAAAGTTTTTTCCCTTGTTTTTTAGTTGACACCTCCAAACACCTAAAATTTAGTAATTCTGGGCCTCCCCGGTGGTACAGCAGGGTTGAGCGCGGCGCGGTGAAGCTGTCCGCAGCCTCTGCAGTGCAGGTTCGATTCCCAGCCGGCCATGGGGATTCACACATGACGCGGCAGACCTCTCCTGTCTTGCCTGCTGCTCCCCTCAGCAGTGTCTTCAGTCCTTGTGCCTGTTCTGCTCCCTACTCTGTCTCTGGTGAATTCTCTCACCCTCTTGCGCATCTGGCCTGTACCCTGGTTCTTGTATAAATAAATAAATCTTTACCAAAAAATTAAAAAAAATTAACCATTTAAAAAATAATAAATAAAATAAAATTTAGCAATTCCATAGAGGCCATTTTCCCTGAACTGTAGAATATTGTTCAAATGAAATTTAGATCATATTCTGTCACATAAAGACTGAGGGACTTGAATATGAAATGACGCCTTTTTTTTTTTTTAATGACAAATTATTTGGAGGGGGAGTAATCATCTTACATCTCTCCTTATTTTTATTTTTTTCATGCATTTTCAGCTCCCATCTTTAGATAAACACATCGATACTATTAATGATGTTCTTCAAACGGATTTGTCTGGCCTGGTTCAAAAGGTATGTTGCTTCTTTCTTTTTGGAAAAAATACAATAGCTTATTTTATATCATTTTAAAGAGTAAATTAGTACATCATAGGTAAGAGCAAAAAAAGCAGTGCCATTCTGGAGAGGGATTGCCAAGAAGACCGAACTCTTTAGCTGCCAGGTAATTCTGTTCATTATGCCAATGCAAAAGGTATTTATTAAGCATCTATTATGTGCAAATCACCATGCTTGGACCACAAGAGATAAAAGAAAGACATGATTTCACCTTCCCAGTGCTCAGATGTGAAGGGTTGGTGCTGATTCCGCTGCAGCATACTCCTGCTCACCCCAGGAATCAGCCGTGTTGGGATGATCTCTCCCCACTTCCTTGACTTTGTACATATGTGCTGTGCCTGGCATGGTCGCCTTCTCCCCTCCCCTTTGCCTGGCTACTTGGACAACCAAGCACTGGCCACTTGGATTGCAAATCTTCCCAAAGGCAGGGACCACATCTGTCTGTAACACTCATTTCCCCAGCAACATACAAATTATCGCTATTCAACCAATATATTGCAAACACAGTAATCATTCTTTTTAAATTATTATTCAATGAGAGTGCCCTACAGGGAAGGGAAAGAATAGTTTTATTCTTCTCTTTTCACACGGGTGTAAAAGAATTATCCAATACCCATTAAACACTCATTTACATGTGCTGACACAAGTCAGCACTTGAAGTTCACACAAGTCATTAGAAACGCTCCACCTTTGCCTGTTGGTGCAGCTTGTTGCTAGAAGAAGGAATTGAACCAGGAGACCAGCCACCTTCTAGCCATTAGACCTCTTCGAATGGGTTATGGGCCACCAGGCCCAACAAAGGTAAATATGGAAGGCTCAGGTATACAGAAAACCAGCCCAGCACCGTTGTTCTAGGTGGATAACTTGGTCACGATGGAGGACACACAGCTAGCATAAGTGGAAACTGGCTGGCACCGTGAATCTTAGGAATTTGTGTCTTAGCTTGGGCTTCTACAAAAGAATATTGTAGATGGGGTGATTTATACACAACATGAAGTCATCTCTCACAGTTCAGGGTGCCAGTGCAGCTGGGTTCTGGTAAAGGGCCCCAACTGAGTGCAGACTGTCATTGACTTTCATCACGTGTCCTCATATGGGTGGGAGAGCTCCCATACAGCACTGACCCCAGCGTGAGGGCTCCACTGTCATGACTTAATAACCTTGGTCTCCACCTACTAATATCATCATCTTGGCTATTAAGGTTTCAATGTATGAGTCTGGGAGGGACAGAGACATTCAGTTCATAACAGGTTGTAATCACTACATTGTTCCCTTGCAACATACTCCAGCAGATAGTTCAAAAACACAAACCCTTCCAGTGGAAAAGATAGATGTTCAGTTGAGTTGCTTGGAAATAATGACATCTTTCTGTCCTGGACTTAGCTCCAAAGTGATACAGCTTAGTGGCTCTTTTGTTTTTGTTTTAGCTTCATTACAATCTGTATCTCTCTAAGCGGTGTTTTAGGACACAGTTTTGTCTTCTACAACATTAGAGCTTGTGTTTTATTTTTAATTGCACTGGAAAGTAAGACTAATTTTTGAGATTCACTTTGTGTCTGCACATGGTACACTGTGCAACTCAAGGATTCTTCATCTCATCCCTGTTGGCACTTTGCAGTGGGTGACCTTTTGTTGTGTGGGTTGTCCTTTTGCATTTTTGGATATTTATCAGTACCCCTGGCTCCTAGCCACACAATGCCAGTAGTACCCTTACAATTGTGATAACCAAAATGTCTACAGGCAATGCCAATTATCCCCCAAGGGACAAAATCTCTCCAGTTGAGAAACACTGGTATAAATGCATGTAAAGCTTTTTAACATGGGTTAAAAGTTAAAGATTTTAAAAACTTTTAACATGATCTTCGATGTATACATTTTATAGAATATCCTCTCTAAGGGGAGTCAATTTTAGACTTTTAAGGACCCTATGGTGATGATCTTCACCTTAACCTATATGTTGCATTTTAATTTTGCTTCTCTAGTCAGTACTAAGCTGCAAAATGAATACTAGTTTTATTAACTGTTTACTGTGAATATTAATTTATTTTGAAATATTTTTAGGGCAATAAATCCTTTAATGATATACCTGAGATGGTGCAAGATGAAACCATGGACATCATATTAGGTGAGACTCATAGTTTGCAGTAATTTTGTACCTTTCTTTGGGAAGAATTGGATACTTAGTACAAAGCAATGTTCTATTAAAAATTGTATTCCTTTTCCTCTCAAAACATTCTCTTACTATTACAAAATCTTGAAAACTATGCAGATATCAGAGCTTTTCAATTGTGCTATCTTTACACATTGATATTGATTTTTTAAAAATAACAATCATACTATTGAACAGTTACCAACATCACTGAGCTGGCAGGAAGCTGCACGGTTGAGTGCCCTACAGTGACGACAAGCTTGAGTTGTCACAGCTAACAGCAGCCACAGTCACATTCTGTGCTTTTAACTGCGGAAAAACTGTATGATTATATTTTCAAAATGAACTTAAAATTTACTTTTAAAGGAATGCTATGTTAAGGATTTGTTATGCTCATCTGACATCTGGTGCCGATATAATTGTATTTTAGTCACGTAAGGTTGTTCACAATTTTGGAGAGATAGAACTGATGTTGAGAGAATTCTGCTGGCCTTAGTTGATTGAATCATGTTGCATTCAGGTTATTGTATTGGGGGTGAAAGTACAGAGAATGAATGTATCGTAAACAATTCTTTGGCAGGAATGGGAATAAAGCTGGGTTATTTGCTAAAAGGAGAAATCTCTGAAACCATAAGATTATTTTCTATTTAAAAAAAAATCTCTGTGCTTTTTTATTTATTGACTAGGCAATTTTAAAATACTGTGTTAAAGGTTTTTAATTTTCTTTTCCCTAATGGTGTTCGTTGAACCCTTTCAGACTTTGGGTGAATGTATTTGATCCTTCCTCACAGCGCTTTAGATAGTTTGTGAGTTTCCCTTTGTTTAATCTAAGATTATACATTAAAAAAAAAGAGATATTTAAGGCAAAATTTATGCTTTCCTCTGCTAGCATCTGAAGGCTAATGCATGTTGTATGTCTGATAGCCACCTGCTTACTAATCTCTGTGTTTACTTTTTTTGTTTCCCCTTTGGACCTCTTCTGCCAATACGTGCAGCCCCCCCTGTAAGTCTGGTCAAGCGAGGTGTGAAATGGGCATGAGTGAGGCCCTTTGTACACAGTGTCATTGCTTAAACACAAGCCAGAGTTTTCCTGGGTCTGGACCAGCAGCCCTCCATCAGCCCAAACAGCAATTGTTTATTTTCACATCCTTCTAGAAGAAATAAAAACCCTTAACTCCCATATTTTGCACATCTGGTCCTACCCTGCACACACATTTTGAGCGCCTGTGGTGTGCCAGGTTCCGCTGCACTCTGGGGATGGGTGATGAATAGACGTGCCCCATGCCTGTCTTCAGCATGGCTACAGGTGCCATTGATCACCCTCTGGTGCCATAATGAGATACATGCAAGGGGTCCTCATGGAGAGAGCAGTGGAAGTGAAGGAAGTGACATCCAAAGTGAGGCCTTAGGAAGATATTTGCTGTGAGGGGATCCCAGCCACATAGTCACCGCCGCTGACAAGCCTAGGAGCCGTGCTGTGTGGCAAGGGGGAGGGTTACATACACTCTTCTTTCAAAATCCCAGAAATCCCAGGGTGTAGAAAGAGACCCCTGGGATCTTCTCAGGAATCTTGGGGTTTTTGGGCAAACAAGGCATTGGGGGGAGGCCCTGAGCTACCATGGAAAGCACTGAGCTCTCAAGATCTCATTGTTTTGCAAATAGTACAGTTTGGAAAATGCTCCCACCGCTCTGATAGAATTGCATTTGGAGCCACGGAACCTGCCACTCAGGCTCACCAAGAGTCCCAGGAACACATTGTTAGAACTGCTAATCTTGTCTCTGTCAGTGCAGAGAGTTATCTCCCTTTCAGGATCGGTGGAGATTCACTGGTTAGTATGTCCTTGTCAAGAATCACTGCGGCTGAGACCTGCTTCTGGCCTGCGGGAGCCATGGCTTTGACCCCAGGGCCTGTCCTGGCAGGGCCGCCATTTTTCAGAAAACTGGAGCTCACCTCCTCTCTGAACTGTGAGGCTGGATAGTAATAAAAACTGCTTGACCACTGAGAATACTGTCTCTTTTTGCAGAAGAGACATAAATGTGCTATTTTAGTAAGTCTTGATTTGTACAAGTCAAATTATATTTCAACAAAAATATCCCCCACGGTCAGTTGTTCAGAGTCGTTGCTGGAGAATTACTGTGTTCCCGAAAGCCACTTTAAGTGTGGAGGAAATACTGTGTCATTTCATTTTTTTTTTTCAAAATCACCTAACAGAAACTATAGCATTACATAAACCTGAGTTTCAATTCCCTTTCTTGTGCTTTCTGGGGAAAAAAATTCCTATAGGCAACTACTTTAACCTCCCTGAGCTCAGGGTGACTTAGTAAGAGTAAGAAAAGCTCTCTCAGTGGAATAAGTGAGTTAATATTGATAAAAATACCTAGCCCATCATCATCACACCTTCCATTAATTGATCACCTGATGCCTTTTTTGGTCTTTAGTGAAGTCACTAAAGAAGAAAACTCTGGCTTGATTTCAGCACCATATCATCAAAGTCAGTGGCAGAGCTTGCTGTTTTGTTACATAACTGCTTTTTGATGTCTTGGCTATATCCATGCTTGTTGTAGAAACTTTTCATATTTTAAACACATGTGACTCTGAAAGAAGTAAAGGTGGTTGAAACGTTCAGTTCCAAATCAAAGTGTGTTTCCTCTAGTCTTATAAATGTCTCGCTGTGGCTTCTTTGCTTTCAGATGTCAAAAGTAAATTGAACTCCCTCAGTTCAGATATTGACAAAGTGACTCAACAGCTCCCTTTGCAGGATAAGCTGTCCCTTTATTTGGATTACCTGAATCACACTGAAACTTACTTCGACCACTATTTACCCTTAGTGGAAAAATATGATTTGTACAGGTGAGTTGCCACCTTTGGGCTGGTAAACAAGAACAAAACTTGCTATGGAATGGGATAAAAACTGGCATTATAACCAGAATAATCCTGAGAGCAAATTATACAGAAGCCAGAACCTGATAAGGTTAACTCAAGTTTATATTCATTTAAAAATTTGAGGTGTTCACTTTGGAGGTTCATATGCTAAAAACTGGAGCTTTCCCGAGAAGATTCACATGGTTCCTGCACAAGGCGTGGTACAAATTCATGTAGCATTACACACACACACACACACACACACACACTTAATTTGAAGACTGGAAGTTCTTGAGCCACATTGTCACTAATTTTCAGTTTTAATGTCAATAGTGACTTTTAGAATCTTAGTCCTAATTATCTAAGGCATATAACAGAATTCCAAAGCTTCAAAGTAATTGAGAAAGGCATGTGGAGAATATCCTTTTCTTCATTGATTAATAAAATAAATATGCAGAAGTCAGCTTTTGCAGAAGGAGCATCCTCGAAACCAGTCAGTTGTTGTAAGAGCTCAGGCTCTTGCCTGGAAACGTCTGGTGGGCAGGCTGCCCGGGGGAGAGGCTGGAGGCGTCTCAGCCACAGTGTGCGGGAGGGAAGGTGTCCAGGACCATGAGGGTGTTAGATGCCCTCTCCCTTCTGCCCCGACACTGTCACCATCCTACTGGTCAAACTGGCCTTCACCTCCCCCAACCCTGAGATGTCAAGCTGATCTTTAAAAAGAAATTGGGGGGCTTGCGTTAACTGGAGAAATCTCTGCGGCGGTTTCCCAGCCTACTAGTGTTGTGCTCCCAGTAGCTGGGACAAAAGCCCACGAATGGCTGCAGATGGCTATTGAAATTATCGAGGTTGCTTTTAATTGAATGAAAAACTTCAGTGGCAGCTTATGTTGCAGAAGCAAATTCTTTATTTCTGAGTGTTTTCAAGGTTGGGAGGCATTTCTCCTGGGGAATACTCCTCAGCAGCGGGAAACAGTGGTGCCTCTGGGAAAGCCAGCCAGACCTAATTGAGGAGCCATTACCTGAAATGCCCCACAGGACACGACATCGAGGTTTGCATCCTGCAGGCAGGGGACTTAGGATGCTCCTAAAATTCTAAAATATCCATCTCACTCACCACATGGAACATTTCCGGCTCAGTAAAGAACACAGTGCCGCTCCCCTTCGGCTCCCTAAGATTCCTACAGCAACATTTTAGAGGAGGGCCACAGGAAAGAGCCGGGATTTCTGTATCCTTGTCTACATCTCATCATGACTACAGTAAGCTCGCACAGCCTCAGGAACCTTAAAAGAACTCAAGTCTTAAGGGTGTTTTTAATCGGTGGCCTTGGAGTTGCATGAACACTGCTGCTCAGCCCCGTGGCCCCGAGGGCAGAAAGGAGCGGCCCCTGAACTGCAAAGCCAAGCTAATAACTAAGGCTTCTTGTTGGCCGGGCTGGGGGCTAGGCGGGAAGGGGGCATCTCACAACCTGGCACCCTCAGAGACTGACAGGAATCTGACACCCGATCAGCCAGGATGGCTCAAGGGCTCCAGGCCCAGTGCGGGGACTCTCCCGCGCCGCCGCTGAGGGCGCTGGGTGTGTGTGACGCGGCGCTTGCCTCCCCAGGTGGCTGGGCAGCCTGATCATCTGCGAGGTGCTGACCATCGTGGTGGTCTTCTATTGCCTGGGCTTGCTGTGTGGCACGCTGGGCTATGAGCCCAAGGCCACCCCGGCCAGGCGAGGCTGCATCTCCAACACCGGCGGCATCTTCCTCATGGTGTGAGTGTCTGCCCCCCTCACCCCCCCACCCTTCACCTTCACACTCAGCAGCGTGTCCTTCTTCCGAGAGAAACGGGCTGTGTCCCACCTGTGCTCACGGGAGAGCAGCGTCCCCCTGCACGCACCAGGCCCTGTCTGGGGCACCCCCACCTGCCCCCCGGCAGCCCTGCATGCTGCTCTCTGCCATCCCTCTGGGTGCAAAGCCACAGTAGCCTCTTCCAGATGCTCCCAGGGGACATTTCCTGCCTCAGAAGCCCCAAAACCTTCCCCGTGTCTCTGCAGAAAGCCTGGTTCCCTCAGCGGCTCTGAGCCCGTGTCTGCGTCCTGGCTCTGGGCGGCAGGGAGACCAGGCTCCGGCCACCAGGGTCCCTGGTCCCAGCTGGGCGCTCACCCTCCAGGGCCCGCCGCTGTCTCCTCCCGCCCTGGGCCGCTGGGCTGCTCGCTGCAGAGCTGGGCCCTCCATGCTCTGAGCAGGCAGAGCCGGTGACCGCAGGTAACATCGAATCGCTCCTTGTTCTTAAGTTGCTTTGTTCTGTCTCCAGCGGGGTCGGACTCAGCTTCCTCATCTGCTGGATAAGCATGGCCTTCGTGGTCCTCACTTTCGTCGTTGGTGGAAATGTGGAAAAGTTGGTCTGTGAGCCTTACCACAACAGGAAGCTATTCCAGGTAAATGCGGTTTCTGTGCCTTGGAAAGACAGGGCGGGAGCGCCGGGTTGGGTGGCCCGTTGCTTGTGGGCCGCTTCAAGAGTGGTGCAAAAAGGTGAGCGGTTTGCAGATGGAAGCCGGGTTCCCTGATTTAGAATTGACGAGAATCTATAACAACACAGCACCCGGTGAGGCCGCGCTGGAGAGAGCTTTCACCTGTTTCTTCGTCTCCCATGAACGGCTTGCTTTTCTGTAAGCCACGGCAGTGAAGCTATTTCCATGGCTTGTATGCCAGTTGCTCCTTGTGGTTGACCCCCCATGCCAGTCTCACTGCATTCTTTGTTGTCTCCCTCATCTCCTGGCATCTCAGATGCCTTCCGGAGAGCTGCGTCATGGCCTTCTGCTGCTCTCCTGAGTCGTCTACTCTGTTCCCAGTCCTAATGTGTTTCTTTTACTAAAATGGCATGTTCTCCAGAGAAGGTAATTTTAGGAAGTCGTCTTGACTTATTGGAGGGGTTGACAGACTTGTTCCTTCCATGCCTTTATTTTCACAAGGAAAGTCCTGCTGTGGAAACATTCCCCCTCACCCCGAAATATTTAATAGAATATTCATTTTATTACATGTGTGTATGTTAGTGTCAAACTGTCTCTTTTTAAAAAATAATTTTAATTTGTTTCAGATTGTGGATACACCATATTTGATAAATGAGAAATGGAAATACTATCTCTCTGGCCTGGTTTTAAACAACCCAAATATTACCCTCACTTTTGAACAAGTTTACAGGTATCAATCGTTGCACTGTGCTTTTTCTTTTCCTACTTAAATATTAGTATTCCAGAATGAGAATTTTGCTTTCAAAGTATCTTTAATCAAATAGAAAAGACTTTTCCACTTCTAGAATTAGACACATCTCTGGTTTTAGCAAACGGAGAGTAGAAATAAGACCAAAAACCAGTCGCTCCTCTGACTGTGGAAGCTTGAAGTTCCTTCCAGACCTTGGGATGGTGCTGTCTCAGAGTCTGACTGACCAGCAGTCACTGGGACTCGAAGATGCTTTCAGGAGACCCTGTGAAGACTCTTGTTCTCAGGCCGCGCTGCCCCACAGCCTCATGACAGGAGTTCACAACTGGGCCCAAGTTGCAGACAGACCTGTGGTGGCCCAGCAAAGGCTGCCGGCTGCCCGGGCTTCAGTTCTGACTCTGCCCCAGGGGCTTTGTGACCTCGGTAGTTCCACGTCCCCTCTGTTCAACAGGGGGCATCGAATCTGAACCCCAAGAGCGTCCCATCACATCACAGAGACAGCAAGTGAGCGGCAGACCTGTGCACCCTCAGCCCTCGCCCTCCCCAGACACTGGCCATCCAGTGCTTTCCTCTCAGCCCAGAAACCACAGGCAGTTAGCACCTCAACCTGTGGCTTCCTGAGGGGGCAGCACGCCTCGAGAGGTGTGGGCAAGCTGCTTCCCCCAGGCAGCCCCAGGGCTCGAGGGCTCTGGCTGCAGGCGAAGAAAATAAGCCCATCCTGGCAGTGACAGGCACGAGATGAGTCCACCCTCCTGGACTTGGTAGCGAAGGACATTTCTCAGTGAAGCCAAGGTAGGGTTGCAGCCAAGAGCGCTGCCCATGTTGGAGGATGTCTGCAGCCCTTCCTCGTCTCCTTCCTTCACCCAAGTCAGCACCTTCTCCCAGCTGGAGACTTATGTTCACATGCTGCAAATGTCAGCTCTGTACTTGTGGAAATATGGAGGCACGTGGCCGGACTGGGGCTTGATAGAACTTTGAATCAAGTTCTTGGTGTCCTTTGTAACCCACATTTTCCCAAAAAGTGTGGATCTATTTTGTTTTATCTTGTGTTAATGAGAATTGGTTTCTTCCCAATTTTTAAATCAGTGATCCTTCACAACACTGAAAAACAGCACAAAGGAGACGAATGAGAACTTAGTTACCAAAGCTATTGTGTCTTCCCCAAATGGACATTGAGTAGAGCAGAGAATGGCATCAGGGCTGGTGGGTGCCCCGGGACTGAGTACTGGGTGGACACCAGAAGCCACTTCTATGTCCACAGCCGACACAAAGACAGACAGCTAACCTTTCCCTGTCTCTTTGTGTGGACAGAGAGCTCATGATTTCCCTTGTTCCCCTAGTGACTGCAAAAAGAACAGAGGTATTTATGCGACCTTGAAGCTGGAGAACATGTACAACATCAGTGAGCATCTCGACATTCGGAAGGTAAGTCAGTAGAACCAGTCATGAGATGACGCGTTCTTCACGAAAGCCAGTTTGTTTTTGTGCTTCCTTTTGCTAAGGTGTGATGCATGTAAAGTTAACTATTTTGAAGCGACCAGGCTGTGCAGCCCTCACCCCAGCTCCAAAACGTGTTCATCACCCCCAGCCAGTGTCCTTCTCGAGGCATGAGTCCCTTGTAGATCACTCTCCGGCTCTGCAGGGGCCTGTGGTGGATGCTCGGGAGGGAGGACCTCCATCTCACTCACTGAGCACCTATGTTCCCAGAAGAGCAAGCCCCACTTGTTTCCCAGGGATGTGGCTCCCCAAAACCGGCCACCCTTCTCTGCCAAGTCCCTGCAGAAGAAATAAGGCACCAAGAACTATGACCCACACTGTTATCATTTCTTGCAAATCATGGCTGTGGCCCAGGGCCCAACTTGGCTGGCCCATGGCAAGAGGCAACTTGACCACCAGGGTGGAAGCAGAGAGATGGAGTGACCTCTTCTCTTTTGCCCAAGCCCAGACCAAGGCTTGAGTCTTAAACTCTCAGGAGGGGCGACTCCAGAGCAGACTGTCCAGAGAAGGAGCAGGGGCATTTCAGCTGCCCAGCCCTAGGGGGCGCCATGAGCTTGGCCTATTCCTCTCCCCTCCCCTGGCCTCCTGGGCTATGCAGGGAAGAACTCGGCAACATTCTTTCTTCTGGGCATCCCAAATGCAAGCAGACACCAAGGGATGCAAGAGAAGAGGGTGTTGGCCTGCCCACTGGCACCCACAGAAAGTTCCAGAGGCACCATGAGGCCACAATGGCCACCCGTTTGCAAGGCAAAGAGGTTTATTTGAAAGCTATACACGAGTTTGTGTTGCTAATCCTTCCTTAAATGCTGTTTGCCTCTATACATAATAAACAAGAATTTTGTGCCCAAATCCAAAATAGATGCCCTCTATTCGTTTGCCTGTGTGCCTTGAGCCATGTTCTCTGCGCCATGGTAAGCAGGCTGGACAGTCCCAGACCTCAGGCACCAACCCTGCCTGCAACTGCCACCTGCTCTTAGGACAGCCCGTGTCTCCAGGACTGCAAGTCTCCCCACCCCTGCCCGAGGCCTCCTGCCTCCTTGCCGGGGTGCGGCCTGACCAGCCCTCTCCACAGGCGGCCTCCAGCTCAGAAGGCACATGTCTGTGTCTCCCAGCCCCCGCAGTGGGAGGCTCCCTGCCCTGGTACCCTGATGCAGTTCAGTGACTTATTATGACACCCTCTCTTGCCTGGTGGCCGCAGGGAGGGAAGAGGAAGGAAAAGGAGAGGCATCAGGAAATCAGGGATTTAGTCTTTCGTCCTGCGTTACGTTAGTGCTCTTTTAAAGCCTTCACTTTATGACTTTCTTGGAGAATATCTTGGACCTTCTTGGACTTATTTGCAACTTCTCTTTCAATCCTGCAGCATACCGGCAGGATAAACAAGGAATTTGAAAATCTGAAAATAAATGTTAACAATATCATTCTTCTGGATGACACAGGAAGAAAAAACCTTCTGGATTTCAGTTCTTCAGGAGTCAACAAACTAGATTATCGCGCCTACCTGGCTGAGGTACAGCGCCCCGGGGTTCATGCTTGATCTTTTCGGGAAAATTTTGAGTGTCAGATATGTGTGTTTCTATTTTGCATGTTTGTGTTTTGGTTTGTAGTTTTGATTCTTTTTATTGCAATGAGTTTTACATAACATAAAATGAGCTAAAGCAAGCAGCTCACCAGCACTGAGCACAATGCTTGCACAACTACCCCCTCTAGCTCCCAAATATCGTCATCACCCCAAAAGAAAGCCTCTTCCCATCACGTGGTTGCTCCCATTCCCCTCTGAGCCCCTGGCACCATCCTGGTGCTCTGCTCTGTGGATCTGCCCATTCTGGGTATTTCCTGAGGGCGTGCAATGGGCGACCTGGCATCTCGCGCTGCAACTGTCCCTTTCACGTATCCTGATGTGACTCTCCTGCCGTGTAGTGTATCTGCCCTTTATTTCTTCTTGTGGTGGAATGATGCAGTTGCATGAAGAGAATGTGCTGTCATGTGTTCTTACCTGCGCCTAGCAAGGCGATGGCACCACCCTCACCGGGGGGTGCGATTTTCTGGGGGTCAAACAATCCCACGTCCATAACACAGCTTGTTTCCCCACCTCTTTCACAGACAAGTAAAACTCCCACAAAGGTGGATCTCTTATCATCTGCCAAAGATCTAGATGCGAAAGTCAGAACGTTGGTGAGTTCACACCGTGCTGTTAAAGCGGGAATGTCAAATGCCAACACTGTCCCCAGGGACTCTGCCGAGGAGGCTCCTGGTGCCGCAGGTCACCCAGGCTCAAAGCCACCTCCAGTGCGCCTGTTAGGGGGAAAGGATGTCCTGTATGATGGCCCCCCAGCAGCTTCGGGGTGCACATGGCTGCTCCTTACCTCACTCCACCTCAGGGTCAGTGCCCTGGCTGCATTAGTCCCAGACCTGTTGTTACCCATCAACCCCTCCACCACCATACACACGTGAAAGCGCGCGTGCGCGCGCACGCACACACACACACACACACACACACACACACACTCTTGCAGAGCAGAGAGGGCTAACTGAGGACATAGCAGGGAAATTCCATCTGGGGCTTTGCCTCTGCAATGACACAGGGATAAGGGAAGTCAAAAGCACAGTGCAAGCCCCCCTAGCTTCCCCTTCCTCGGTGCCTCTGGGGCTGGTGACTACAGGCCATAGAGGGTCCCTCCCAGGAAGAAGCAGGCTCTGTGATGAGGAGCCTGGGCTCTGGGGGAGGGTGGGGATTCGCATCCTGCCTTAGCTACTTCCTAGCTGTGCAAACCTTGGGCAAGATGTGTCTCCCTCTGTGGCTGAGCCGCCGCACCTGCACCTGGAAGCGGGGGGCATAGGATTGCTGTACATCAGTCGTTTGGACCCTGTTAAAGTGTGGGTTCAATGAAAATTACTCATTTGAGCCCAGTTTTTTCCATCGGTAAAATGGGGACATAACTTCTGTGCAGTGGCGCCCCCCCGCCCCCCGCCCCCTGGCTCTGTTATAGAACATGGCCAAGAGGAGGCACAGCCGCTGGTGTTGAGGCAGAGCTGACGCGTGGACCCTGCGGGTCTGGGATTTTAGTAGGATGTTTCGGCACCAATTCTCCCTGCTGCCCCACCCCCACCCCACCCCGCCACCCCCAAGCTGTCACCCCCCTGGCTGCTCGCCCGCCCAGCTGCCCGACCGGCTCCCATGGCCAGAGAGTGTGCTTCAGAGTCTAGAAAGATGATATTGATCTCTGTTTATTTTGTTCTCTTTGCAGCCCCCTGGAAGCTTGAAAGACTCTCTAAAAATCAACGTGCAAACCCTTAGAAATCTTCACCGTGACCAAGTCATTCCTTTGCAACAAACCATGGTAACGATCCCGGGTGGCTGGCCTGTCACTGTGACCTGTTGGTTTTCCTTTAGCTTAAGGACACGCTCGCATCCCCGTGGGTCAAACCCAGTTGACCGTTTATGCCCCAGAGGCGCCGAGGAAGGGGAAGCTAGAGGGGCTTGCATGGTGCCCGTGACTGCCCTTATCCCTGCATCGCAGAGGCAAAGCCCCAGAGGGAATTTCCCTGCCATGTCCTCCCTTAAGACATGTCCTCAGGCGAAGACACTGAGTTACTAGAAAAAAAAAGGATAGTAGCTGAGCTTTAAAGAAAACAAAATTCCTCTTCACCACTCCTTTTCTGCAGGCATCCTTGCCTTTCCCCTCCTGAGTGTCCGCAGCGAGACTACGTCTGCAGCTGCTGCTTACACTCTCTCTCCTTCCCATCTCCTGAGGTCTCCAGGCCAGGCACCCAGCTCGGGACTGGTATTTTTGTTCTGAGCTCACTCTTACTCTCCAGTGCTTTTTGTCCAAACCCTGCCAGGAAATAAGTGAGGCAAGGGTAAGGCCTGTTCTTTCTCTTTGATCTTTTCAGAACCGGGGCAATCTGTCCACCGACAGACACGTGGTTCTGTCCCTACAAACCCTGGACTATATAATCTGCTTGCTGTCTGTTGTTATAAATAAAGTTTTATTGGAAACCGCCCCCGCTCATGCCCACTTATTACAAATGGTCCTTTTGGCTGTACCGGCACCACTGAGGAGCTGGGTTATGGCCCACGAGGCCTAAAATGTTACTGTCTGGCACCTCAATGATGAAGTCTGCCCATCCCTCAGCTAAAACACTTCACCTCAGCCACTCTCATTAATGTCGACACTGAGCAAAGCCAATTCCTGGGGGGGCTTTGCCCCTGGCCTGTGACATCCTGCCCTTCATTGCTTAGTGGCCACACCCAGATTTTCTCCTTTGCAGATTCTCGCAGCACAGATGTACTGTGCACACAACTACCTGCGTCTGTTGTTTTTCTAGAGCTAAACCACTACAAAGCAATCACATTGAACAGCTGATTTGGGGGGAGAAAGTAGGGACAGAAGTCTTGTGCTCTCACTGCTTGAAGCATACAAAGTCGAAAAATATTTCTCGTCTGCTCCCCAGGACTCTGCACACCGAGGCGTGAAGGAGCTTCAGCAACTGACCAGTGGCATGGAGGTAAGGACTGATTTTCTGCTCCTGGCTCAGGGTTTGGTACAAAAGCATATACAGGCATTCAGAGAATTTGTTAGCCCGCAGATTCATTTTTCTTTTGGAAAAAACAATTATTGAAGTAACACTGCATTATAACACCATGCAAGTTCTAGGTGGGCACAATTGTAAGTCAGCCCCAGCATCCACTGCCAGCTGACTAACTTCTTCATTGTGGACACCACGTCCACGGGTGCTCCTTCTCCAGGCAAAGGTGACGAGCATCCTGGCCTCCTTGGATTCCATCCAGGACTTCATCACGAGCCGTATTTCCTCTATTATTGTGGAAGTAAGTCTTCTTTTATAAAGTAATGATGTCAATGGCACATATGCGAACATAGCCGCGTGGTACAGTTATTTTAATGGTCTTCTACCCTTGGACCTCTTGGCAGGAAAGCAAGAAGTATGTGGAGACGAGAATAATAGGGCGCTTTGAACGTTACCTGCAGTGGGTCAAGGGTGCTGTAAGTAGCCTTCTCCTGTATGAACAGAAGTAGTTCATGTGTCAGAGGAGTCATTTTCTGGGATAAAATCAGGGGGAAAGAAAATTAAATTTCTGTCATGTGGTTAGTTATAAGTAAGTAGACTTTGAACGTGCTGGGCGTGCCTGAAGGCTGGCACAGTGGCCTGACCCAGGGGGGGATCATGCCCTGGAATCCCCCCCAGCTCACCTTGTGCGTCTTAGAAGCAATGACCCAGAAGCAGTGTGAATCTGGAAGCCATCCAGGAGCCAACCCAGGGGCTATTAGGAGGTGATGCCTGGGACTTGGGAGGTTTTCACAGCACAGGCATAACACAGAAAGTGGGGTACAGAGAAACCGAAGGACGCTTCTCAGCGCTTTCGTCTCCCAGCTCCACATCTCAGAGGCCACAGCTTTCCTTTATGAGAATCGGCCAAGGGAAAAGGTGTAGCTGGTTCTTTGGCCTTGAGGAGTGGCTCAAATTTTGCTGTGTTTTACCCCCACAGATCACAGAGCAGATGGCCTCCTGCAAACCCGTGGCCAACGCTTTAGATTCTGCTGTTGACATCTTCCTGTGTAGCTACATTATTGGCCCCACGGTACGAATTCCATTCTCGCAAATAAGGAGACCCAATGTTTTCCTCATTTTTTCTCTTATCCAACTGGTAATACATACTCTAACATAAAATAATTTTCTGCTTGGATCTATTATGGTTACAGAATCTACGACCTAAAATCTAAAATGTAGGTGGGTGCGTATAACACCTAATAGACTAGAAGATTCAAAAAGCACCTACTATGTGCAAGCATGGCTTCTGTCTTCCTTCACACAATATTGTAACAGGATGAAGATGCTGTGGTCCCTCTGCTCAGAGGCAGAAGACGGCCAGAGAGCTTCACCAGCCGCCCTGACTACAAAGAGCTCAGAAAGGGACTCCAGCCCACGCGGCAGGCCTCCCACACCTGTCCCCCTGAGTTCTGGGGTCCTAGGTGCAAACCCTTGCCTCGCCACTAGATGCCGCTGTTCCCCATTTGTAAATAAACATTGCAGGCGCCATCCAAGGTTTTCATTTACTAATTAGGATCACAGGTACTTTTTGCACCGTGACTGGCTCCTGTGAAGCTCACAAATGGTTTCAATGAAAAAACTGAGAACTCCATTAAGACACTGCAAACCACTTCCCTCCAAGCAACTGTGGTTTTAATGTCTCCCCTTCCACACTTCATTCTTCTAATTTCTCTTTTCCTCTAGAATCTCTTCTGGTTTGGCATAGGAGAAGCTACTTTTTTTTTAACCCCGGCTCTAATTTTTGCCGTGAAGCTGGCCAAGTACTATCGTTGCATGGATTCGGAGGACGTGTATGAAGAGTAAGTGGCGAATTTCCACAGAGGCTGTGGGATCCATTTCTAAGTGGTGCTAAAAAAAAACAACTCCCAGGAGAGAAACTTCACTTTTTTAGGAGGGGGGCCGTGCCTGCTCTGTGTTTGCTCTGGACTGATATTCTGATGCTTGTTATTTTTTCCCTCTTGCTTCCTCTTCTTGGCTTCCTGGATGAACAGCTCTTGTTTCTACTTTGCAGCTCTCCTGTGCCTGAGGCTTCGAGCTTCACTCTGTAGCTGGTCCTCACTAGTTTGCACTGGGCTTTGTAGTCCGCCTCCTCTCTGTCTGCTGAACTTCTGTGCTTCAGTTTCACTGCACGCATCTCCTCAACATGCTTCTGCATCTGGATCCTTGGGAGCCTTACCAGAGTAAAATGGGGGTGCCAGGGGGAAGCTGTTGATGGTAATGGTCATTTTTTAAAAAATTGTATTTCCCTTTTTTGTATTTTGTAGTTTTGAAACTGCACCTGTGAAAATGTAAGTCTTCCTTTTTTATCATAATCATAAAGTGAGACTGGAAGCCTTTATTGTTACATGAAGGCTTTTAAAATGACATTGATAAGAGCATTAAATTACAAAACGATAGTATGTCCAGCTAAAAATAAATGCCAATGTCTCTTACAATGAGCCCAGGCACAGAGGGGACTGTAGAAAGAGTTGCTGAATTAGGAAATACTTTACATGTGAGCCTTGTTAACCTACAAAATGGATGTGTTGATACTTGGCTTTTAAAGGCAACAAAATGTAAATTGTTAGCTTCTTTGCTGATTTACCAAATTGTCACATACTTTTCATGACCGTGCATTGTCTTTGTAATGCATGGTGTGAAGATTTCATCTTAGAGACAACGTGAGCTTTTTGTTTTGTTTTGTTTTGTTTGACCTATTTATTTTTGTTGCAGTATGATAAATGGTAATATTGATTTTCATAGACATCACCCCAACCAGACTGTGTGAACAAAGTCTCTCCACTCTGCAGGAGACTTTGATCCGCAGTGTCGTTACATACTGGAAGAGAAACCTTCCCTCGGGACGTCCCAGAGTTGTCCCAGAGTTGAGTGACCGGTCTGGGGCCCGGGAGCAAGGGCAGGTGCCATGATCGCTCGCTCATCTCCCAAGTTTTGCTCTCACCTGCGTCCTCGCCCTGGTGAAGACTTCTTCGGGCAGCGCGCGTGTTAATTTCCAGTGGGGTCTTTGGAACCCGACCCGAGTTCTGTCGCGTTTCATTACACAAGATGCTGGACTTGCAGTGCAGTTTCAGCAGAGAGCAGATGTGTGTGTCACAATAAAGGATGGCTTCAGAAACACGCCTCTGGTCTTCTTATTGAAAAGACACCCCTGGATGCAGTCAGTACCATTGGCATCATCACTGCTGCTTTTCCAAGGGCTGCTGTGCCTCGTGCCCAGATGAGTGCTCAAAGCGTGGGAAATGCGTTCTCCCTCAGCCAGGAGGCCGGGGTCTGCTGTGAGCCCATCCCCAGGGTTGGCCTGAGGGACTGAGGGAGAGCCTCCCCGGCCCGCCCCAGAGCCCGCAGTTGCTGGTAACCCAATGCCTTGCTTGGCTTCTAGAGCCTTACTCCACTGTCTCTCGGCATCACAAGAAGTTTCCTTAACGTGGCTGTGTCCAACCCCCTCTTCTTCAGGACCACTGCAGGAGGACCCATCCCAACCAGGAATGACCTCATCTTAATTTCATCACATCTGCAGGCAGCCTATCTGCAAGTATTCACAGGTGCTAGGTGACATAAAATGGGGGGCAAAGAGGGGACATCATTTAACCCAGTAGAGCCACCCAGAAGTGGCAGCAAATAGCCAAAATGGTAGCAACGTGGATGTGGAAGAGGTCCCCACTACACCCAGGCCTCAAATTCAATTAACGACATCAGAAAGGACCGTAAATGAAAAACTCTTTGACCTCCCACAAAGCAGTGCCTCAGTCCCCTCTTCCTTTTGTCCGTATTCAAGGCCGCGGCGCTCATCCACGGCCCGTGGACATAAATTGTCTCTCGATCTCCACCACGAGGCCCAGCTCCTGCTCTTCTGAGGACTCACCTAGAGGCATTTTTTTTTTAAATGCTGATGTTTGGTCCAAACCCCAGAGATTCTGATGTAACTGGTAGGGGTGTTGCGATGCATGTGGAATGTTCCACTTTCCCAGGTGTTTCTAATTTACAGACAACGTTGAGAGACCCGCCCCAGTTTGATCACTTCTATTACTTGAGATACAGCAGGTCATTCTGATGTGCAGCACGGACCAGACCCACTGACACAACAGGAGGACACACCCCACCAGGGGAGGATGCAGGGGGCTGTGGCTGGGGGTGGGGGGCCGGCCAGCAGAGGAGCGATGTTGCAGTTGATTTTCCAAATTTCACATACGTTGACCATCTAGTGGACACTCATCAAATCCATGTCCTTAGCTAACCCCCACCACCTCCTACGAGGCCGGCAGTTTGATTCCTAAGTATCAAACTCAGCTGCCTGGAGCTGGGAGAAGCGCGTTGTCCTCTCTGACCTGTTCTGGCCAGAGGTGGCTCAGGTCCCTGGTGCCCCGGCTGCCAACTCTCAGCAGGTTGCCTCGATGGGCGAGGACCATTTAACAGCATTTCCCTCCAAAACCACCATGAAGTCGTCTGGTGCCTGCTGAGGAGATGCCGTGTAGCTTGGTCTACCCACAGAGGGGCCTGCATGCCAGCAGCATCAGGGAGCCCTCGAGTGCTCACCCTCAGACCCCACCCCAGACCCACTGAGTCTCAGTCTCTGGGGGTGTCCTACTCATGAATGTGTATTTTTAACAAGTTCCCAGTAAGTTCGAAATACAGTGACGTTGGCCACTTTTTTGCCCAAGATATATGAATAGTCCCTCTGAAAACTATAAGCTGCTGGCAAAGCATCTGTGCTGAAGGGACTGCTCAGGAGACGAGGGGCCAGTCCTGACGGTCCATCAGGTCCACCAGCATCAGGTGAAGGTGCATGTATCCCAGAACTGGGGGACCATGCGTCCCAATTCCACACAGAGGACCTGGGTCGAACCTTGTAGTGACATTTATTGCAAAAGTTCATTAGTGTAAGTTTCAATCCAATGCAAATTAATTCTCTGAATTCCTGCCATGTCAGTGGAGCCCAGGGGAAGGCCTGGGTGCTGAGTCTTGGACTGACATTAGAGGGGGAAAGAGCCATATGTTGGACTCGGAAATTTGGACTCTATTGGGCTTTCATCCAAGTCTAGCATAGGATCCAAATCACCTCAGCTCCATGCTCACGTGATACTAGTAACACCCACAGTGGTTACTGAGTGATGCAGAGCAGTGACAGGACTTTCTCCCTCCAGCTACTGAGTTGTCCCTTCAAGCTCTCGAGAAATTCCCTCTCCCTCTGGCTCTAAGCTGTCCCCACCCAGAGCCCCTCCCAGGCCTCCCTCCAGCAGGGCAATTATCCCCAGGTCGTCACAGTTGAGATCCTTGTCTCCTCCACCCTCTGTCCTCAAGGGCAGGCCCAGTCACCTTGCATTCCACTCAGAACAGGAGAGTCTGGAGCAGATGAGGTGCTTCTCTCTCAGCACTGTGTCCTCTGAGCTCTGCAGCCTCTTAGGCCTGCTGGCCCAGTGGGCACACACCCTCCATCACCCTTGTCATGGGGGTTCCTGCCACATCTGACTCCTCCCCCAGGGACCAAGAGCTCCTAAGTCGGGTCCACTTGCAGTTGTGTTTTGTATATATCTTGGGCAACAGACACTGCAAGTTCTTGATTCTTAGCCAGCGAGGGACAGCTCACACGACAGGAGTGCGTTTTCTTGTAACTCCGAGGCTGGGAGTCCTAGGGTTGTCTCTTCCAAGGCATCTCCTTGCCTTCTTTTTTTTTTTTTAGATTTATTTTATTTATGCATACAAGAACTGGGGTGTAGGCCAGAGGTGCGGGGGGATGAGAAGATTCACGAGAGAGTGGGGAGCAGAACAGGCAGATTGACTGAAATAACTGCTGAGGGGAGAAGCGGGAGAGACAGGAGAGGTCTGCTGTGCAATGTGGGTTACCTCCCTGGCCAGAGATCAAACGACATGTCGCAGTGGCTGGCGATAGTTTGATAGCGCTGAGACTTTAACCCCTTTACCACCAGGGAGTCTCCTTGCCTTCTAGATGCTCTTCTGCCTCTTGGGTCGAATTTCCTTTTCTTTTAGGACACCTGCCATCTTGGAGTAGAGCCCACCCATGTGCCATCATTTAACTTGATTATCTTCTAAGACCCTCTCTCCACATTATGAGGTACTTGGGTTTGGGATTTTTAGGGGCAGGAACAGGGCACTGAGCAGGTTTTCTGATCCAGCAGACCGGGTAAAGGAGGAGTCAGAGTCCTCAGTGGCTTTTGCAGGTCTTTTATTTAGGATTTACCAGGCACATGGCAGGCAGGGGTGCTGGGGAGCTGGGAGGCTGGCAGGCCTCCCAGCCCCCAGCAAATCTCCACTCTGTCTGGGCTCTCTGGTGTTCTCTTTGCTTCTCTTCTTTTTCTCTTGGCTTCCGTTCGTTCTTGGCTTCTGCTGGCGTCCCCGTGACGCCGCCCTTATAAACTCAGTCTCTCAGCCCAGGTGTACCCACTCCAGGTGCCCGCCATCGGGCATGCATTCAGGACCACAGGGTTCCCTCATCCATCCTGATGGCGGGAGGGCAGAAAAGCCTGATACTTTTACCTTACCCTACAGGATTTAACATGAACTTTTGGGGGAGGGCACACAACGCAGTCTCGTCCCATGGGTCTACACGAATATATCAGAGAAGGGAAGGAGCAAAACTTCCGGTATTGTTAAGGCAGCACAGTTGTTCCTGAGTAATTTTATGGAGAAATAGAGTATCTCAGAAAATGCCTTTTTTCAGCTTGGGCTCTGGGCGGGCTCCCTCTCAGGATTATGGGAGTGGGGAGGCGGCTTGCAGCCGTTACCTAGGTTGCTGTTGCTACCCTGATGGGCTTCAAGCACAGGCAGCTCCCTCTACTGAAAGCTCCACACAATCATCAGCACACTTCCTGAGAAGTCAGTTGCGCTGAGATTGTTGGCTCTAAGGTCCAGAGTGGGGCTGCTGAGGCCGCCTTGGGGCCACTGGGCACGCCAGTGCTCAGCTTCCTGGGAAAATTGGCACAATTCCTGATCCACGTGTGCACAGGGCTTCTTGACAGATGCATGGGTGAGGCCCGTGTTGTCTCCCCTTCCAGCCCCCTAGCTGGGCTGCCTTCACCTTACTGGAAGGTAAAGAATGTTCCCTTTGCTGCCTCAGGAATGCTCCTTGAGCCCCAGGCCTCGGTAGTCCAGAGGGTGGGCTCGGAAGGCCAGAGGCTGGCTTCTCAGGATGAAAGCCCTCCCGGCCATCACGTGAGTCAGAGTCTGCCCCTGAGCCAGGCCAGCGCCCTCACGCTGCCCATCAGCAAGATGTTGTGGGGTATTGGCCCCTCAGGGCAGGAAGGCTTGTCCCCTGACTCCTTTCATGCATTCATGCAAACTGTAGAGGAATCCAGGTACACCTGTGGCTAAGTGTGTTTGAGGTCAAGGTGATCTTCCAGCAAACTGACCTTGCTACCTGGTGCCAAGAAGACCGAGAGCAGGTGCAGCCCTGCACATGGCCTGAGCATAAGTCCCACTTAGCTCCAGTCACAGACTACAGCTGGCCTGGGGCTCTCAGGCAGCAGGTCTGACATGCCAACTAAGGCCCGTTTTCTCATCTTCCCTTAAATGACCAAGGCAGAGGGCGCTGTGCTCTCCAGGTGTGAGTGCTCCTTGTCTCAGGGGCCCTACAGGCCTCTTCAGAGTTACTTTTGATACCTTCATCCCGACAGCTCCCCGCTTCAGGTGGCAGAGACTGCATTTCACCTGGTCTCCTGCAAGGCCACTCCCCGAGTTGGTGCAGAGGACAGCTGTCTACTCAGGGCTCCCGCTCTGCAGGGAGCAGCAGCAGTCACTTTAAGAGTATCTCTCCCTCTCTCCACCCTGACCTATGCTTCAAGGTCAAGTTCACATCGCTGCACTCAGGAGCCCTCATTGCCACAATGCTGGGCACTTTATCCCCTTTGCTGAAGCTGACAATGATTAAACCTTCTATCATGCATCTAGATGAAAAAAGGACTGTATAGGGTAGAGATTGAACATCCAAAAGAGAGAATCTCTTGGAGCTTCTGCTTCAGAAACAAATGTGTGTGTGTGTGCGTGTGCGTGTCTGTGTATAGAGAAACAGACAATGCTGCCCCTTGGGGAAATCTCATCCAAACAGAGCAGACATCTTTAAAAGGATGTTTTAAGAATGACGTTCTTACAAAGAGAT